CAGCGGGGAGAACCTGCCCGGAGCCGGGGGCCGGAGGCTCAGGGGCTCTGGCAGCCCCAGCCGCCCCAGCCTCACGCTCTCTGATCCACCAAACCTCAGCAACCTGGAGGAGTTCCCTCCCGTAGGCTCGGTTCCCCCCGGCCCTGCAGGGTGAGGCTCGGCTCTCATGCGGGAGATGGGTACCACGAAGGCTCTGGGGGAGTCAGTCATTCGGGCTCGGCGCTCCGCAGTGGAGCGCGAGGATGAGTAGAGGCTGGGGGTGATGGCGAGGGTTTTTGTGGGGTTTTTTTTTGCAAGAGGTCTAGCTGTTGCAGTTGTGGAGGGGGGATGTTTGAAGATAGGAATTTGAGAAAAACCTGTGGCTACTCTCAGCAGGACGAAGCCTTCTCGCAGGATCAACCCAACTCCGGTGAGCGAAGAGCGGTCACTCTCCAAGCCCAAGACCTGCTTCACCTCACCCCCAATCAGCTGTGTCCCCAGTTCCCAACCCTCAGCCCTGGACACTAGCCCTTGGGGCCTTGGCCTTCCCCCAGGGTGCAGAAGTCTGCAAGAGGAGCGGGAGATGCTCAGGAAGGAGCGGTATGGCCTGGCCGCTCCTGGGGATGTCGGCTTCCTCGCTATGGGGGATCTTCAGGGGTTTTCCCTGAAATTGATTTCCCTCTTGGGGACTCTGGGTTTGTCTTCTGGGCTATTGGTATCTTCTCTGGAGGGACCTGAGTGTCGCCGTGGCAGGGGAGCCAAGCTGACTGCTCATGAAATTTCTTTATTCCCATAGCTCTAAGCAGCTGCAGCAGTCACCTACCCCTACCTGTCCTACCCCAGAACTGGGGTCGCCCCTCCCCAGCCGGGCAGGAAGCCTCACAGATGAACCTGCAGACCCTGCCAGAGTATCTTCCCGCCAGCGCCTGGAGCTGGTAGCCCTTGTTTACTCCTCGTGCATTGCTGGTGAGTGAGAGCAGAGGGAGCTGGAGTGGAGATACTTGTAGAACTGCTGGGTAAGAGAATTGATAAGGCACCTGGAACTGAACCTTGGCTCCAAATGGTGCCCCATAGCATGGGATTTCTTTTTGTATCTATCTAGAAAACCTCGTACCAAACCTCTTCTTGGAGCTTTTCTTCGTCTTTCAGCTGCTCACTGCCCGGAGGATGGTGACTGCCAAGGACAGTGACCCTGAACTAAGTCCAGGTGTCCTAGGTCAGTGAGCAAGCCTCCTTTTGAGACGTGGGGTCTAGAAACAGGACCGTTCTTAACTGACAGTTTGGTACTGTCCTTCTAGATTCCCTGGAAAGTCCACTGTTCCAAAGCATCCACGATTGTGTCTTCTTTGCAGTGCAGGTTTTGGAGTGTCACTTTCAGTGAGTTTCCCTGGCTGAGGCATTTGGGCCTCATTCTTATCATCTGCTTAGCTCTCTGGCTGCTTGGGACCTATGCTGGTGCTAACACGGGGGCAGTGGCCCTGGACCTTCTCCTACCTGTAATCTTTCATTTTGTGTTAAGGCTATGAATGTAGTACCTAAAAGAATGAGATGGAGCCAGGTGCGGTGGCTCATGCCTGCATTCTCACCACTTTGAGAGGCTGAGGCAGGACAGTCACTTAAGCCCAGGAGTTTGAGACCAGCCTGGGCAACATTACAAAAATCCCATCTCTACAAAAAAAAAAAAAAAAAAAAGGCTGGATGTGGTGGAGTGCACCTGTAATCCCAGCTACTTAGGAGGCTGTGGTGAGAGGATCACCTGAGCCTGGAAGGTCCAGGCTGTAGTGAGATCACGCCACTGCAGCCCAGCCTGGGTGACAGAGACCCCCATCTCAAAAAAAAAGAAAAAAAAAAGGACCCCTGTGGCCTTGGCAGCTGAGTTTGGGTTTCTGGGTAATGTACCTGTCCTGCTGTCTTGGTCCCTGCTCTGTAAAGTCTCATATCCTCCCCTTTACTTTCATTGTCTTTGATCCTTGGCCCACGACCTTGCAGGACGTATCTGGGCTCGCACACCTGCACCATGCCTTAGAGATCCTCTGTGTGGTGTGCAGGTGCTTGCTTCCTACTTGCAGTCTGTGTTCCGGTCTCAGTCATAGGTGTTCTCATCCCTGCAGGGTTCTTTCCAACCTGGACAAAGGGACCTTGAAGCTGCTGGCTGAGAATGAGCGGCTGCTGTGCTTCTCACCAGCTCTGCAAGGCCGCCTTCGAGCTGCCTATGAGGGCAGTGTTGCCAAGGTAGTGACCTCAACTTAGATGCCCACTAGTCTGGACCTAACCCTTCCTAGCTTTCATAAATTCAGGCAACCCTGCTGACGACACTTAAGTGTAATGTGAGCTTACTCTGGGCAAGAATAAGAGGGAGAAGTTGTCTCAGCATGACCCTGCGGTTCCTAATGTTCCTGCTGTATTTTAGGTCTCTCTGGCAATGCCTCCCTCTGCTCAAGCTGTCTCCTTTCAGCCAGAGACTGACAATCGTGCCAACTTCTCCAGTGACCGAGCCTTTCATACTTTTAAAAAACAGAGGTGATAAGAAAAGGGACTTTTGCGGGAGGGAATGAGATGACATTTTTCTGGAAGAGGCAGCTGTTTCGGTTTCATAGAAAT